ACAAAATGGATAATACTGAAGCCCATTCCCTCATATTACTTTTGTTAAATACATTTAGAAAGGATACATTTTATTTAAAGAAATGAGTAGTTTATAATGAGGGAGTTCATAGTTGGTGTTAAATTTTAACATAGGTTTCTAGCTTAAATTTGAAATGCTATGTATCCTTATGGAAAAGTTTAACTAATTGAAATCAATGGGATCTATTTTTGAACTGGATTTTCAGGACCATCGAGCAGGACATAATAATGCTACCCGCAAACATCTGAGATATGTCATCTGAAATGTTTGGGGTTCTCTTGGAAACTTTGTGCAAAGCTGGCTGGGCCAGTAAATCAATCTCAGCCCAACTCACCTCATCTCACAGAGTTGTTGTGGGGAAAATAGGACAAGAAAGGACAAGTATTAAATATGTTCGTCACCTTGAATTATTCATTAAAAATAATAAAGATTGGGGGCCGGACTAAAAAAATGAGAATTGGTAAATTGTAGGGATGTTGGGCTTTTGGTGTAGTAACCTTGACAAATCTGTCATGGAACCAGACCTATGTTCTGAAAAACATCCATAAGAGTAGGTGGCTGCTTACATTCCTAGACTATTGAATTAGAGTTTTCTTAGTTAAATATTAATTACTATAAAATTAACAAGTAGATGGTTATGTTTACTATTTAAATATAATTACTAGCAACAAGAAATGCAAGTAGATCTGAGCATTTACTTTTTTATGTATTCCACTAGATGAAGAATTAATTATAGCTATTTTGATATTATGTTTATATTAGCATACCTTGCTAGCCTAAATATACAATGCAAATAATCTGGCACGTGCAGTGGATTATTAAAAAAAACTGACCCTGAGCTTTAAAGTAAGTTCTTTGCTAAGTTGAGCGTGACTAACTATATGGGTATGTCCCTGTAGTTTAATTGGCAAGCTGTAAACATGGTTTGCTGTTGACTTTCCAAGCCAGCCTACAGCCCTGGGAATTTCTGAAGTTTTTTGCTTTAAGTACTAAACTTATTTGATTCCCCTCTTTTTTAAAATCAACCAAACTAAAAAAAAACTTTCTGTGATGACTGTACTTTAGTGTATGTTAAATCATCCCAAGTGTATAATTTCACGCTTCTAAGCCAAGCTAATTCTCTTTTGTGTCCTAGCAATGTTATGTAACATTAATACCTAGCTGCAATGTTATGCTTACTTAAGAGAAAAGGGAGGCTTCTGAAATTCACAAGGAAGGCTATATTCTTACCTAGGTGAGAGGTAAGAATGTTGCAGAGCAAGAATATTATGGTTTCCTAATATTAGGTCTTTGTGTTCTTAATATAACTGCCACTAATGTATAAACTCTTTGTTGTTCTTTTAATATGCTGGAATCAGGTTTATGGTGGATTACAAAATTACCCAGAAATATTCTTTTTCTAATTAAGTTTTTTATTTTATATTTACAAGTCCATTTTTCATTTAAACAGTGTGTCGACTGGGTACATATATCTTGTGCTAGCAATTATAATTAACATACTTTCCTTGCCAAAATATCAGTAATCACATTTTCTTTATAAACCATTGTCGCTTACATATTTTAATTTTATAACAATCTTAACATATTTTTCTCTATATTCATCTACTCAATTTTTGAAATATTCCTGAGGACGGCAGGAATGTTTAGCTAAATATAAAAGAAGTAACAAAGCAAATATTAACTTAGCCTAGTGCCTATTATTACAAAGTTGAGAAAAAGTTAAATTAGGATACATGGGTTGATTTTGTTGCACTTTTATACTTGGCAGATTACTGATTCTCAAATGGTTTACGAATTGCATCAATAACATGATTTTTCCCAAGGTGGCTCAAGGAATTCTTTTAAAAAAGAAAAAAAAGAAATCATTCAACATGATCAAAGTCTGACAAGCTTGATTTTTCCCATCTCTGCATTACACTACAATTTATTTACAATATGTCATGGGCTCCCTCTTCTGATTATGTTTTGAACATCAGTCTTGTAAAAACATTCCATACCAAAACATTCATTCATTTAATCAATTGATACATTGCCACAACTATGGAATTCCACAACACTATCTTATTACAATGCCAGTAATAACTTCATCAGCTTAATTTTCTGTTTTTATTATGTAGCATTTACAAAAACCATTTGGATTATTTTGTTCCTTTTTACTAATAATTTCTTTATGCTATTACTCAACCTAATATTTATCACCGCCCTAAAATAAGGAACAATGAAAAACAATTGACAATATGTTCAAGCTATCTATAAATTAATATTACCAAAAAATTAATGATCATCAGTAAAATACCCTTTAAAAACCATGCAATCAAAATTATAAACATTCAGAAGTCTCAAAAACAACCATATTTCAACTGATGGATACTCCATCCTAGGTGGGTTGTTTTCTCTGTGGACTTAGTTCTTGGAGAAGTCTGGGACATTTAAAAGGGGAGTAAAAAAACAAGTCAAAATACTTTGGCCAGCAACCAAAAACCATTACTTTTTACCAGTGTTGCAAACACAACACACTTAAGAAGGAGGCAGAGTTATGTTCATTCAGTTATGGCTGCTATCTTCAATTCTCCCGTGAACGCTCTTTCATGAAACATCTTTGTTTAAACAAAATTTCCACTTGATTGTGACAATACTTGAATTAGAGTCACGTGGGAATGAATTTAAATATTAGTTTCTGATTATTTTTGTGATTATGACAGATCGAAAGACTTAACCGGTGGCTGGTGGGGAGTATGTGGCTATATTTCTGCTCTCTGTTGGCCACATGTAAGAAACAACAAACTTATTCTAAAGCAGGAATGTCCAATCTTGGCAACTTTAAGATTTGTGGACTTAAATTCTGGAACCATAATTCCCACAATTTAAGATTTGTGGACTTCAACTCCCAGAATTCCTCAGCCAGCATGAATTAGAGATGAAATTGTCCAGTATCAAAACACAAGGGGGAGACACACTCCAAAGAAAAAATATAGTTGTAATACGTAATAGGGTTCTGGATTAAAATGATTGTTGCTGCTTGCTCAAAATTGTTTTATTGTTGATTTAGGATGTTTGAAGGCTTGAATGTTTTGATCAGTGTTTTTCAGACTTGATAATTTTAAGATGTGTGGACTTCAACTCCCAGATTTCTCTATCCAGAAAGCCCTTGAGAGTCTTTTTGAATGTGGTGGGATAGCTGTGTGCTTAATAATAAAAAATACATGTGAAATAGTCTTTTAAAAAAGAAATTCACATACTTTATGATCAGAGTTCCATTCCTCAACCATAGATCTGCCTTTCCCAAATAATATTCATTAGAAGTGTACTGGGTAGGATCAAAGGAAGGTTAACTGTTGTCATTATTTACAATGTGGAAAGCACAAATAAAGCTGGCTATGCTTGGGCCCTGAGATTTTATTATGTGAAATGCAGCTGGAAATGTATTCCTTTCCTACTGAATGCATTTAGCCAGGTAAGGGATTGGGCACATATTTCCAATTTAAGGACCCAGAGGCTGTCCACGTAGTCTTGTGAAACATTAAGTATTTTAATTAATTAACTTGATTAATTTGTTAAGCATTTATGTATCTACAGTAAATTTTAAATCTCAAAGCACTATACTGAAGATACTTTTTTAAAAAATTGGTAAAGAGTGACACCATCTTTCTACCTAATTAAATTCATGACAATATTCTATTTTTATAAAATTAAAGACATGGTGATTTAGCCCATTTGATTTGAATAAAGAAAGACTATCCAAACCCAAATGGATAGTTAGCTGGATACCCACGGGCTTTCCATGATTGTTCGCCTTGATGTATACCGCAAGGCTCTTATAAGCCAAATGTATCATCCGAGATATAAATTCTCTTTGTATTAAATGAAACATATTTAGGAGAAGAGATTGAAGAGTATGTTTTACTTAACTTAGTGGCCATGCTCATTTCCCCCTTCCTCTGTCTCTCACCTCTCCTAACACATTTGGCAAAACCCATATGGAACCATTGTTGCCCCAAAGTAGATGCACCCATGTGGAAAGAAATTAACAGGGATTGATTACGCATGCTGCCTCAGCCTCTTAGGGAAAGGATGGGAAATAAATTCCATAAATAATAAGAGAATTCATTGTGTCCTCTTGTTCACTATTGCAGTTCCTGTGTTTCCTCAGGGGGCTGGCTTCCTAGCAACTTAATTGGATTTCCGACCTCTGGAGCTTAATGAACTGCTAGTCTTTCTGCTCTCAACTCCTAACATAGTGCTCAGGGAAGCCAACCAGCCTACGGAAGGACTCCGGGGAAAGATACCAACACCTGTTGACAGTTAACAGGCTGTCACAAATAAAGTGAAAGTTGAGAGTTGGGGCTTTTTGTCATTGGTGATTTCCTTCTAGAAGCTCTGGGGAAAGAGAAGAGGTTGGGTGGGACTTTCAGGATAAAACCAAAGAGAATCTATACAGTACCTGCTGGGGAAAGTACTTGTTTGGAACTGCTTTATCTGAAACAGGTAGGAAGGAAAATTCCTGAATGTTGTATTTAAATACTCCGACTATAAACTTTTTCTTTCTTTATCCCTCGGGTTGCATTTTGGGGGCTAAAGCTCCAAAAATGTTAGAGCAAAAAACAAGTGAATTGCATTGAATTAGTAATGTGACAACATTTAGACATTTCTCTCCTGCTTTTCTTCCATTGAAAATCACCATTTGCCTGCAATGTTGAGAGGAGGTGGGAGTCTTATTTGTTTTAGGGACTTCTGGTTGTGTAGCTTTTTTTGCTGTATTTGAAGAACATGTCTTCCAGGATTCATCTCTAGAAACTGTTCTCCACACTTAGCATGGTAAACAACAACTTTATGCTCTTGATCAACGCAGCAGAGTGGTTGGATGCTATGCTAATGAATTTCTGATGAGTGGGGTGTTTATTTGTTTGCATAAAAGGGAGTAACTGCCTTTTTGGAGCATTTGTGAAAACTGGCCATTAGCTTCTGATCCTTTTGCAGTTATGCCATCACAACTGGAGGGTGCGATGGATACCTTAATCAGAGTCTTTCATCATTACTCTGGAAAAGAAGGGGACAAATACAAACTCAATAAAGGAGAACTCAAACAACTTCTCAACAGTGAACTTACTGATTTCCTTGCGGTAAGAACAATTCTTCTTACATATATTCTGTTGTTTATTCACAGTATTAGAAATAAAAATTGGGGAAGAGGAATAGCTATAAGTTGGTGCTTGAAAAACATCTGACTTCCAGATAAGCAATCAGACATTTTCTGCAACAGCAGATACATTATAGGCATGCAATATTATGCCACTTCCAAGCGAATGAGCTCTTAGAACTAGGTAGCCTGGTATCTTGGTTTCATTATTATGGAAAGCACAATTATCATCTTTTTGATTTGGAAATGGGAATGGGGAAATCGTAGGTTGAGATCTTGCTTGTGAAATGTGCAGCCAGTTTGGATAAAGCTCAGTAACAAAATGGTGTTACTTAAGTAGAACTTACCATGTACTGGAAGTATTACAGAAGGAGCTGATGCTTAATACATTATTAATTAGATAAAAATATAGACAAAAATAAAAAATTAACTTTTTTTAAAAACTGAATTAAAATACATAATTTCAGAACAAATATGGGTACTGTTAAGAGGACTGAAAAAATAAAGTATTTGCTAGAACTGAATGGCCAATGCAGTCCAATCCCAAAGAGCTGCCAATTTGTATTTCACTATACAAAGCTGTTCAAAGTAAGATCTGTGAACATACTTTTAAAACTCGGATAGAAATAAATTGGATTTTATCAAGATCATCTACAATAGTCCAGCCTTTTATTTCCAGGACTACGGGCCAAATACATTTGTGAATACGTATGCTGTCCATTCTTACATTTCAAAAGAGATAAAAACAAGCTTCAGAGCATATTCATAAACTTCTTATTCTGGAGTGAATAGTTCAGGAATCTTGTTGAAATGAATGCTACTCAGTGGAATTAATTAAATATCTCTGCTATGCTGATGACATAAAAAGTTGATTTCTTTTAGGTCATGTGCTGAAAAGAACTGCTACAATTAAAAAAAATCAGAGATCAAGCAATATAGTTATCTGCATAGATCCTAGAAACATTTCAATCTATGAAAAATATAGCAGCATTCTTAAAATTCTTGAAATCTCATGAAATTTTAATGGTATTCTGCAAGAATATCAAAATTTTGCAAGAACCCAACTGAAAAATCTAGAAAATTATGAGAGCTCAATAACATCTTACTGGATTTTGGTGAACTCTAATTTTAGAGATTTTTGTTGATTTGGAGATGTCTAAGCAATCATATAAAAGAATGTGGTGACACCAATTCTGTAATTCACATTACAAAAAAGCAACATTTAGTTATCATCACATTTGGTGGAAGCTCAGGAGGAACTAAGCAGGTACACTGTATCCTCACTGTTGCTAGAGATGGGGTTGAAGACAAGTAGATTGAGTTTATAAATTGGTCAAAAGATACAATTTTCAGGTGATTCAAAATCAATGTGGGAAAATATAGCTCATAGACATATGCCATATGTGGAGATTTAAGAAGTTTGTTGTTTAGTCTGAAGACCATTAGTTTAATAAATATTTATTTAAATGAAGACAATCTGTTTTCCTGAATTGCTTGCAAATAAACCATTCCAAACCGAAATGAACATTAGCTGCAATTTTTTGATTCAATATCTTGACAGTGATAAATTGATAATGACTTGTATACCAATGCCAAATTTATTTCTGCAACATGAATAATTCAAAACTGACAGTTAAATATCTGTATTTGTGTGTGTGTGTGTGTGTGTGTGTGTGTGGAGAGAGAGAGAGAGAGAAAGAGAGAGAGAGAATTATTTATTAAATGATCTGTAACAAAAGTGGGATGGGATTGTTAGCTGTACTTTTTTTCCTATTTAACTTTTCTCCATTTTAAATTCCTTTTATTCCCCCATCATGTTCTATAGGCACTGTTGCTTCCCCAATGTATTTCCAGGTGCCACATATCCTCCCAATAGCTTATCTTGCTGATCTAAGGCAATTTTTGCAGTTTTCTTCCATTCTTCCCCCTTTCCTTCCAAATCTAAATTCAACTGTGGACACCTTAAACATCTTATTATTTCCCAGTTCCTTATCTTATTGGTTGGTAGGCATCAAACATATGTCAAATGAAAGATGTATTTGGCGTAATAATGACTACTAAGTCTCAGAGGACCTTACATCTTTCCAAAGCTTCTTTCTGAGGTAAACTAGCAACACTTTGCTATGGTGTCTCCACATGATGTCATACTTTAGCTCTTGATGTGCATTTTATCTCCCCAGCATCTCTTTTTCTCTTCTTAAAGATGAAAATATAATTAGCCTGACATGCCTTGAAAGGAAGTACAATTTTCAAAAACATAATTCCTCAACTGTACTTTACCTAATTGGCCTCCTTGCTTGTTCCATACATTAAAAAAAGCCCAGAGCTGTTCCATAGATTTAAAAAAGGCTCAGAAATGTTCCATACATTTTAAAAAATGTACCTGAATTTCAAAAGATATAGATGTAGAGTATTATCAAAGATGGCCCAAGAATATACCAATGAACAACAGCTAAAATCAGTATGTCATTTCATTCACAGAATGCACTAGAAACGTTTATTGATTTAGTCATTTGATCACATTAAAAGCACTAGAAATTAATAGAAATAAACAAATATATACAAAGAAAACAATAGGACATGTTCATAGTAAGTCCTCATCCTTACAGTTAACCTCATCTGAGCTAAATATTCTGTCCTCTTCAAAATGGCCTTGATATAAAGAGTGTGGTCTTACTAGTGAAATGCAGGTTAATTTCCTACAAAAAATAAGACAGTTCCCCAGGGTGCGCGAATACTTTTTAGTTTTTAAATAAGAATCGAAATAAGCATCCCTTTCTGCCGAATATAGTTTGCAGTCAAAAAGAACATGTCCTAATGTCTTCAGTGGCTGGTGCTCCACAAACACAGTCTTTCTTCAAATGGAGCTCCATGAAACCTCCCATGTCTTACCATGGAGCCTAGTTCCTCAAAATGAGCTCTGGAAAAAGCTCTTCTGAGATGTTGAGACATATAATTTTCTAAGTGGGAGGTTAACTTATGCTGAGCCATTGAACCTATTTAAAGGTTGCAATATCATTGTGGGCATCAATGACTCCTTGTTTGAAAGTTTCCTTGGCCTGGGAATTGAATGGAGAATCCATATTGTGAGATGACATTTGAAAGTTGGGCAGCCCAAGTACAAAGTACAATGGCTCTTCAAAACAAAACTTGGGTGATCTATGGTTCACAAATTGATTAGAAAATGTATAGGCTTTAAATATAATTTCCTATCTGTGTTAAACAAAGTGACTGCCAAAAAAGCTCCCATTATAGCAGGGTATCCCTAATCCCCAGTCCTGGCCCAGTGCTGGGCAGTAACCCATTAGGAACTGGGCCACGGAAGTGGCGGGTGAATGCGTGCATGCGTGAAGCTGCATTTGTGCACATGAAACTATCTCTTTCCCCACCACCACCACCTCCACCCCTCCTGTCACCACCAGTCTGCTGAGCTGGAAAGGTTGGAGATCGTTGTATTACAGGACATGTTTCTAAGGAGAATGTGGTGTTTGCTGCTCTATTTGTTCCTATGCAGTATTTTACTAACATTGTTCTACAGCAGGGGTGTCAAACTCAAGGCCCACAGGACGGATCTGGCATGCTGGGTACTTAGATCTGGCCCCGGAAACAGTGAAGGACCGACCTGCAAGTACCTTTGCTAGTGAAAACAGAGCTCATGAGGGCCACATGTGAAATCCGTTTTTGCTGGCAGAGGGTTGCAGGAGGCTGTCACAGCCAAAAATGGAGCTCATGAGCCCATTTTTGCTGGCAGAGTACTTGGGCCACCACAGGCGCCCTGACATGAGTGACATTGAGCTGGCCGTGCCCACCTTGGCCACGCCCACCCCAGCCTCCCCCCCAAGGTCAAACACAACCTTGATGTAGCCCTCAATGAAATTGAGTTTGACACCCCTGTTCTAAATAGATGAAGAAGGAGAGAAATGCAACAGGCATCTGTAGCCTATTTATTTTAAGAAAAGTGTTATCTTAAAAATTTGCAGCCCTGTAAAAGCAGAAAGGAGAATTTTAAAAATCAATCATTACTTTTCTTGGATTGGATTCTTTTTATCCTGTGTAGCAACTTACTAACATATCTCCTGAGTAGGTGGTTTCTCAGACTTTAAGTTGGCTGCACATTTTTGTACGTCAGGCAAAAGTAACAAGCTGTATACTATATTTAGTTTCAGGACAAGTCCACTTGCGCTGTGAGCTTCAATTCTCCTTTCCTTGATTTTAACTAGATTATAAAGTTAAGTCATACCCTAATCAGCAACTACCCTTTGATATCTTTTTAAGAGTTTAAATATACAGAGTCCAATTATGATCAATATGACCATATGAGCAGCTTGGGAAGATCAACCTTCTTCTCTAGACATTTTCTTGCAAAATCCTCTCCCAGAGGAGGGAGGTGGTTTAAAAAGAAGGGGGGGGGTAATAAAATTGTTTATTTTAATCACTTACATTTGTTTTTAAACCTGGATCCTATGTGTATGCCTGTGGGAATTTCATGAATCAAGTGGTGAGGGAAGGTGGCAATTTAGACCTTCCTACCTGTGCTCAGTGGCATTGACCAAGATTATCCCCTTTACATTATGCACTAAAAACAAAATCACAAACCTGCATGTTATGACTTTAACACAGGGTGGGCAATTTTTTAGACACCAGAACCACAGTTAGTTTTAGAAAAAGAAAAACTGCAGTGAGAAGGCTGGTGGCACAAAATGAACAAGGCTACATCATCTTATAGGTGAGGCCAGGATTTGATTCATTTAACTGAATGATAGAAGTAGGAGAAACATTTCACTATTTATTTATTTATTTATTTATTTATTTATTTATCATATTTTTAATAGAGAGTGGCTCTGGACAGTGTACAATATAATCAGTAAAATTAAACAATTAAAATCAGAATAATTTAGGATTAAAATTTTTAAAATTATACAACAACACGGTAAACATTTCAAAAGATGAAGAATTCCAAAATGGTGGATTAGAAGTTGTTGGGGGGGGGGTGTTCCTCATGAGGCCAATCAGCCCAACCCATAGTTTTGTGGGTTCCTATGTCCCCCACACAAAGCTACACAGTCGAGTTTTGACCCCTTTGTGGAAAGCTAAAAGATTGGGTGCAATTCTCACCTCTTGATAATAACTTGTTGGAAAGATTAAAAATAAAAATTATGTGTATTAAAACTAGGGACATCTAGTGAGATAAACACAGGCTGCAGACACTGTTGTGGCAATGGTAAATGTCACTGTTCATATAAAAATTCCGTAAGGTTTACAGAGGAAGCATATACATAGCCTCAAGGAACTAAAAAGAAATCTCTAATGCAACTCCCATGCCTCAAACCATTTTGTATGCTATTTATTTATTTTTGCATTTATAGTGTCAAAAGGATCCCCAGCTGGTTGATAAGATCATGCAAGATCTTGATATTAACAGAGATAATGAAGTGGATTTTAATGAATTTGTGGTTTTGGTTGCTGCTTTGACTGTTGCGTGCAACGATTTCTTTGAGGAGCAAATGAGGAAAAAAGGAGAATAGAAATGGTAAGTAACACAAAATTTAATAACTATCCTTGTAGTTTTTTTTTTGATTAATAATTAACTTAAATAGGCTGATGTGTCTGGGATATTATGGATATTATGGCATTATTTTGGTATATCAAAGACTATCTCAATTGAATAGGCATTAAAACCAGAAATCTCCAAGTTAGAAAACTTACCTTTACCATACAGAAGATGACAACACTTGAAATTTCACTCCACATCTGGCAATGGAGACATCTAGAATAGGAACTTGTGTTCTGTTCTTCAGAGATCAGAAATTATGTAAACTAGTGCAGAAAATTGTGGCAAATCAGCTGAGCGTTTACAACAAACTAGACTATAATTTAAATAAAGATTCATGGAAAAGTCTTCTTCGTCCCTTTTCTTCTTTGCAACTCACCATAGTTTAAGTCAGCGGTCACCAACTTGTACAGAATACATAGGCATAACTTCCCAATTAGGACAGGGCAGGAAAGGCTACACCTAGAGTCTCTTTAATGCTCATTTGAGGATTGTAAGCATCTGTGATTTTTCTCATGCTGTTCTTGTATGAGCTGAATGCTCACCTTCTGGCAGGTTAGAAGCCTACAGACATGCTTTTCCATTATAACCCTGAAGGGTCACTAATTAGATGGTGTTTTGCTACAAATTCTGCAGACACCACAAGCAAAGACTTTAAACAGTGGTCACTTAAACCAGGGATCACCAACCTTTTGGACCTCAGAGATCACTAAATTCATAATTTTAAATCCCGCGGACCACTAATATGAATCCAGCGTGCCTCTTGCTGAAGTGCCTGGACTCCCAGGGACGGGATAGGGTCCTTCAGGCACTTAGCTTGGTCCCCTGTTTCTGTAACCTTAAACACTCAAAGAGCCATTTGGACCCATTTCCCACAGAAAACAAAACACTGAGAGCCACAAAACCTGGGTGGGCATGGCCAACTCGATGTCACTCACTCCCACCCAGTCACAAGACCCACCCTCCCCAGCCACTGGGAGAGAAAAATGTTCCTTGCCACAGCTTTTTAGATGATGGGGGCAACAGAGATAGTCTTTTAATATGCATCTTCTCCGAACCCATTATTTCCCCTCTGGAGTCTTTTAGCCCTTGCTGGATGGAGAAAAGCATTGATAAGAAGTGGGAAGAATCTATCCTGGACAAACCCTTCCTCCCAGAAAGGGATTGACTAAAGGGATTGATTTCAAATGGAAATACACACTATCAACCCCAGTAGATGGTTTGGGGAGTGGGGTACAGCAGGGGTCCCCAACCACCGGGCCCCGGACCGGTACCGGTCCGGGAATCATTTTCTACCGGGCCGCCGGTTTGCTGGGCACCACCATCTTGTTTTGACAGACATGATATTCTTCGGAATTCTGGTTTTTGGGGGGAATCAGCCCCCGCCCCCCCTTTCCCCCCTTTCTTCTCCTCCTTCCCCTCCCCTCAGAGGCCCCCTGAGTCAGGAGTTGCTACTGCCCAGCGCGGCTCCATGCGGCTCCAGTCTCGCGTTGCCTCGGGAAGGGAAAGGCAAAAAGGAAGAGCCGCGGCGGCGCTTTGCAAAGAGGACTGGCGAAGGCGAAGCGGTTTTGCAAACGATTCCTGGCCGCCCAGATGTAAATAAACATTTTTTGCCCGGGAAGCCCATTCTCACGAGTTTAAAAGGCTCATGTAATAATACGCCTTTCTCTCTCCCCCACCCCCCCCAACAGGGCGTGCTTCAACGACTCCTCAGGCCACTCTCGCTCTTTCAAAAGTGTGAGGCGGGAGTCAGTTGCAGGAAAAACCGAGCCAAGGAGCGGGGACACAAGTCGCAACCTCAAGGCTAGTGGCGGGCGGAGTGGTGGGGGGAAGAAGACAATTATTCCTGTTATTCTCGCACTGTGGGGATAGAGAGTGGGTGTTTGAGTGGGTGTTCTGTGTGTGGGCATGCGCGCACGCTGATGCCGGGCGAGAGCTGCCTTTGGGGTTATAGAGCTGCCGCCTCTTGCCAAACTACCCGCGTCAGACGCAAAAAAGTTCTCCGTGGGGAGGAAAGTGGACCCACGTCACGCCCCGGGTCTCTTCTCCCCCCCTCCCCCCCCAGCTGTCAGGTGCCTGCGCGATCAGCCCGGAGGAGCCCTGCCGCCTTTAGCCCGCAGCTCGGAGGATCTCATGCAGGGGGGGGGGCGAGGAAGAGCCCGAAAGCACCAGCTGAGGCTTCCGTGCAGGGAGGGGTCGCTGGGGAAGACCTGGAGGGGAGGTGTGGGGGAGAGGAAATGCCTTGTCATGCATGCTGATGCCGGTACCGGGCCGCGGATCATTTTGTGATGCCGGTACCGGGCCGTGGCACAAAAAAGGTTGGGGGCCACTGGGGTACAGGACCAGACTGAGAGGCCCACATTCCTACTCTGGCCGGAAGAGTCAAGGTTTGATGGGCATGGTCAGGGCAATCTGATGGCACTGTGCCAACTTTTACCCAATTAGACAGAAGATCCATTCAAGCAGAGGGCGTTTTCAGACAGTAAAGGAAATACCAACACTGTTTAAGTTAAAAATATTCTCATTGTATAATAACAAAATACCATAAAAACAGTAACACCAACAACTATATACGAACAATTATTTGAAAAACATGTGAAAAAGTAAACAAAGAATCTAGGAATAAATTCTACTACTAAATTGTTGGCGTAGCAGGTTGGCTTTCTTTTATTGCAGGGAACATTTGGAGGAGTGTGGGTGTGTGGATGGCAGGTGCTCGTGGCCATCTTTCACATCATGGATGCTATAATAGAGAAAAACGTTTCCAACCATAATTAAATTTGTGTCATTAATCTGAATTACGGCAGGCAGGAAAGAATTTAATCCTTGAGTAGACCTACAGAGAAGGAAATAATTATCAGATATCTTCCTTCTGAGCTACTGAGAACACTATAAATGGACATAAATGATTTAACTTGATAACTAATTGGCCACCAGGGCAAACTTTTCAGCTCAAAACTAACCCAAGCCTAAAGCAGAATGTCCACCATGACAAAATTAAATCCAGGTACTAACAATCCCTGACCTTTGATAATATTCAAAATCTGCTTCCTGAGGCAGCTGTTTCAGGCCGCCAAATGCTGGTGGGTAGTTGAACAGAGAAGTTGTGGGGAAAGGAGAGAGATTCATTAATCGGCCAGCTGGACATTTTTATTTTCCAAATAGCAAAATGACAACTATTCTTCTTATTCTCCATGATGGAGAAAACAAGTTGGGAGAGAAAAATTTGGATAGAAAGAATATCCAGTTTGTATTATATAATTCGCCTTTCAGGTTTAGAAATTTTCTAGAGCTTAAAACTGTTTATTTGTTCTCTCTCACCCACCTCTCCAGTGTGGCCAATTACAACCTTGATGTTAATGGGATGAAAACAATTCCATAGGAAACCTGGCCCCATGCCATGTAAAGTTTTAAAAGTCATAACCAACATCTTGAATTGGATTCAGAAGCAGACTGGCATCCAATGCAGCTCCTACAGCAGAGGTGCCACATGTATTATTCTTGAAGTGCACATAACTGCCCATGTGGCTGCATTCTGTACCAGCTGAAGCTTCTGGATACTTTTAAAGGGTAGCCCCATGTGGACTGCATCCTAATAGTCAAAATGGGAGTTGACCAGGCATGAGTGACTGAATCTCCCTTTCCAGGAAAAGGTGCACAGTATGAAGTTGAAGAAAGGCCTCCTAGCTGCTAGCTGCTCTTCAAACAGGAGCCATGAATCCAAAAGAAATGCCAGTTTACACATTGAGTTTGTCTTAGTAGTGCAACCCATCCAATATCAAATTGAGGGACCCACTCATAGCCACCCTATCTTACCAGATTCAGCTGAAGTTGATTGTTTCCCATTCAGGAGCCCAAAGTCTCCAGGCACTGCAAAAGAATGAGTGATGTCCATGGTATTACTCACTTCACCTACCTGTGTATCCCAAACATACTGGTGATACCTTATACCATGGTCATAAATGATCTCATGCAGCTGTTTCATGTAGATGTGGGACCTGGGAGGAAGGATTGTTACACGCCACCCACTGCCAACTCCCTAAGACATCCCAAAAGGTATTAAATAGTGCCAAGAGGTCAAGAAGACCAAGGAGATTTTATGTATGTATGTATGTATGTATGTATGTATGTATGTATGTGTGTATGTG